TCCCTGATGCTTGCATCTGAATCAGGCTATAAATGACAGCGTTATAGGCATTTTTGTATTCCCCATTATAGCCTATGGGCGAAACGCATCAAAACAGTAAAAGTTTCAGCGAAAGGAAACGGAACAGTGCTTCAAAACAGTGAAACGAAACACTGTCCCTTTGAAACAGTGAAGCTGAAATTGAAACAAAATGTTGCCGTTTTGCACAGCCCTAGTGTTCAGCTGCGAGGGGATTCCAGGGCCTGATCTGGTTTGTGGCAGCCATGTTGTGGGCATGTGGGCATTGGCAGGGGCAGGGGCAGTCAGAGGTGAGCTCCACTGTCCTGGGACCCTGCCTCCAACAGATGGCTCAGAAATATAAGAATGCTCCTAGCGGATAGATGCTCTGCCTTCCTGTGGTGGGCCTCAGCCTGGTCACAATCAAGGCGAGTGTTTGGCTTCAGCCCACAAGTAGGAGTTTTCCCTTGTTTGTGTGTGTGGAGGCAGGGTGAACCAGTGCCCCAATCTCTCCTTTCTAGACCATCCCCATGATATGGTAATAGTCTCAAATCTTTTAATGTCTTCATGAGAGAACTTTTCCAGACCTCTAGTTGTTTGCCTCATAGCAGCAAAAATTCTAGCTCTGTTCATGGGCTTGCAACTCCACTTTGGAGCCACACTTGTCTCTGGATGCTTAAGGCAGTGGTTTTGTCTAAATCTAGGCTTTCAGGTCATATGGTCTCCCCCCTTCAAAATGTTTAGCAGCCTGAATCTGTCAGGACAGAGATGTGCAATAGCAGAGCAAAGAATAACAGCCTCTAGGCCAGTAAGCGTGCCTAAAAGGCATGGGGAAATGTGTATGGGACAACAACCCTACGGTAGTGCTGGGAAGGTGACATTTTCATGCTCTCTCCCTCAACTCAGTTCCACCCCCGAAGTGCCCCATTTCAGGGCAAGACCAAGGTGACACTTTGTGGATTGGGCTTCCAGTCGCCTTCACTCTTCACCGCCTCTGTGGGCTCCCCCATCACTGACAGCACCTATCAGGTGACAGTGGGACACAGGAACTGCACTGTGCTGCCTGAGGAAAGCCTGAACAACAGGTGAGGAGTGTGCAGGACCTGGAGTGTCTGCTAAGGTTTTTACCTTTAATCTCTCCCACTGGTTGAGAGGCTACTCTGTCTAAACCATGCAGATGGCTTCTGCCATGGCCAGCTGACATTTGAGAGTTGGGAGGGATGGGCAGTTCAGCTGAGGGCAAAGATGGGGAGGCAGGGGCGAGACCCCATTTAGCTGGTGAGGAGGAAGCTCCTGGACTTAGCCAAGCACTGGCTGTGGCTTTCCAATTCCCAGCCAGACCCAAAAGGGCCCCCTTGCTGAGAAGTGACTCCTGGCCCCTGCTCTGTGTCTGGCATGCTGTGGCCTTGGTGCTACTTCATGTACTCGTATGAGGTCACTAGCAGCACACTGCATTGTAACAGCCCCTGCCCTGCTGTCATGTTGCAAGGTGGGTATGTTGTTCTGGGTGCTGGCTACAGTGGCTGGCAGGTTTCCTTGATACCACAATTTGTGCCAGGTTCATTCCCTAGTACAGGGGTGGGAGTCAGTCATCTTCCTCAGCCAAAGAGCAAAGCAGCCTCAAACTTTTCACCTCCTTTGACATGGGCTCCTGAGCTGTTGTCCCTCTGTCTGTACCACACAAGTGCTGGGCATGGTTAACAGTATCAGTGAATGCTGACTAAGACGGAGGGGAACTGGCAGAGCTCAAGGGGGAGCCCGTGGCTGGCATAGTGGGGGCTGTGAATCAACTTAGAGAAACACCAGCAATACTGTGTGTGTGGATTCCAGGGTTGGGTTAGCAGGGGGCTGTAGGCTAGGACTGAGCAGCACCAGCAGAGCTGTGGGGGGAAGTATACCCTGGTCTTGCTTAAATTGTGCCTTTCTCCTTCCAGATTATCAACCTTCCATCTTTTTGAGCATTGCTCAGTGCAGAGCCAGGCCATCCTGTTGCATGTGGGACTCTTTTTTCTAGTGAGGGGTCATATACTCTGACATGCTGAGCTTTGTTCTTCATGGGGGTCTCCCAGCATCTCCAAGAGATCTTGCTGCTTCCTTGCAGGGCGGGCAGGGAGGGGAGGTCTGATTGCTCCTGTGACTGACTCCACAGGAAGCTGGAATTAGGTGTTGGTATTTGTCTCATGGGACCCCTCAGAGAAGGTCAGGGACAGTTACAAGGGGAAGCTTGTGGCCCCTTGGGAAAGAAAGGTAAGGGGGGAGGGAGGAGGCTTTGGTGGGGAGTCAGCAGAGTGGGTCAGTCAGGTGTATGTCCCATTCTGCCTCCCTCCCACTTGAGTAAGGCCAGGAGAATCTGTCCCCAACCACAGCTTGCTGCAGAGCCTGCACAGCTTGGCACCACCTTGCTGTCTTGCAGGCCCCGCTTGTTGCCCCTCTGGCAGGACTTCACAGATGTCTTGGTCTGCACACTGGAGCCATCAGAGCCTCAACAGCAGGCAATGTCTGTTGAGGTAACACTTACCATCCTGGAGTCAATGAGGATGCGTCCCTTCTACGTCAGTGGCTCCTCGACCCTTGGGGGCTTTTTCTTTGTGGTACGTCCTGAGCTGCTCTGTACTCTGCCTACCCACTCCTGCCACCCAGGCTCAATCCCAAGGA